CCCCCCCCCCCCCCCCGCCAAAAGCAGAGGGGGAAAGGGGGTAAGCCGGGTAAGTGAACTAGAGCACCTAGAAGCATTTTGCATCTGTAGTCGGGCTCGACTGAAAGCCAGGGAATTCTTGCAGTGGTCTGAGCATCAACTCATTTTTAAGCAGTATCGCTGCCTTCTAGTTCTTGCAGATTTTGCTGGGTTCCTTAATGCTTCATATCCCAGTTCAACTTCCTTCAGGAAAATTGAGTTTAAGGGAAGACAATCTGGCTCACCAAGGAGCAGAAGTTAGCACATATTGAGCATGGACTGACAGAAGGATATTTGTTAGCAACCGTCACGTTTTCTTTCTGACTTCTTCTAAAAGGGACCAACATGGAAACCAGGCTTACCTTAATGTGGCTTTTCTTTCCCATTAGGCAGTTTGGCAGGTTTGGGCTGGTTTTACTTTCTGTTTTAACATTTCCTCCCTTTCTCTACGTGCAGAAATATATGCTCCTTTCTATGCTTTCGTTGATCATAAAAATACCACAGTTGCTCAATGTTTTTTCCTGTGTCTCTCCACTCCATGAGAGATACCATGGGAACTACATCACAAGGTGTTGGGCTGAATGGGAGAAAATCTGGACTCCAAACAAATTCAGGTTGCTTGTACAATGTGTTGAGTTCGGTGGGTTGCTAATGGAAGTATTAAAACATAGTTTTAAATTGTATGGATGGAAAAATGTTCTCTAGTCATCAGCTGTATGAAGCTGACACCTGATGGCGTTGTCCGGTTACCTGACTCTTGAATCTTCCTGAATAAACAGAGGAAGTTCTGAATTTCTCACAGGGTGGGGAAGAAAGAAATCCTCTGCCCTATGCTTAAAATCTCTTGATAAATTTGTGCCTCCAGAGCTGTGTCTGTTATATTAAACAAAAAGAAACAAATAGTTTTTTGCCATTGATACTTAACGCTATGGAATGAACATAGAGTGGAAAATGTCACCGAGAGTTTCTTGGCTTAATGTGATTAATGGTCTTAGCGCTTAGAAAGCCAGGATCATCTCTGGATTACATGCACAGACTCCTTTGATCTTGAGAGTTGACAGTGTGGTTAAAGGTGTTTGGAAAAAAAAAAACAAAACCAAAACAAACAAAAAAAACCCCAAATCCATATACATGATCAGGTCTTTTTTTTTTTTTTAATGGTCCTCCTGTGAGTTTACAGTCTCATGAG